ACATCAACTAATCCAGCAGTAAACACTCCTAAATGGTAGTAGTAAGTCTATTTAGACCCAACATACGTGTGCGGTTACACTGGTTTATGCAATATACATAGTAACATATATGCGAGTTTTCTATGATAATATGTATGTGAATTTCCTAGTTTGGTACTAATCCCTCTAGGATTTTCCAAGAGTATATTATCATGTATCTCTCTTGCCTGCGTTCCAGGGAATACAAATCAAGGGACTTCAACCGTTTCCAGCAATTTAGGTGCCTTATCGTACTTATGTGTGCCTTCAAGAGGGCAGTTAGGTTACAGCAGTATTCCAGCCTAGAGAGAACAAGCGATTTGATGAGAATCAATGGGCTTGGTGTCCCTAGTTTTGAAGGTTCTTATTATCAATCTTATCATTTTTCTAACAGATGCAATAGATACATTGTTGTGATCTTTAAAGGCGAGATCCTCTGACATTGTCACTCCCAGGTCCTTCACATTACTTTTTCACTCTATTGTATGGTTCGAATTTGTTGTATGCCCTGATACAGTTTAATTTCCTCAAGTTTTCCACATATAAGTAGTTGGAATTTTGAGTGGCCCATTTGAAGATTTGGTTGATGTCCGCTTGGGGTCTTGCGGTGTCTTCGATGGAGGACACTGTCATGGCAATTCGGGTGTCATCCGCAAAGGAAGACACGGAGCTATGGCTTACATCTATGTGTATGTCAGATATGAAGGTGAGGAATAGGATGGGAGCGAGTACTTTGCCTTTTGGAGCAGAGCTTTTCACCGTAGTTGCGGTTGGTGATCTTGATTCCTAGAACACTTTCAAAGATTTTTATAATATGGGATGTTAGTGCTATCGGTCTGTAGTTCTTTGCAATTGCTTTACTGCCACCTTTGTAGAGTGGGGCTTTGTTGTTTTTAGTGAGTGTGGGATGACCTTTGTGTCCATGCTCCCTCTCCAAAGAATGCTGAAGGCACGTGACAGGGGTTTCTTGAAGTTCTTGATGAACACGGAGTTCCAGGAGACGTGGCCTGGGGCAGAGTGCCTGGGCATGTCATTTATTGCCTTTTCAAAGTCTTGTGGTGTTAGGATAATATCAGAGATTTTTGAGATGACCAAATTGTGTCTCGTTCATAAAGAATTCATTTAGACTGTCGACTCTTAGTCTGGGTAATGGTTCGCTGAACACTGAGTTATATTGGAACTTAAGCATTTCACTCATTTCTTTGCTGTCATCTGTGTATGTCCCATCTCGCCTAAGCAGGGGCCCAATACTATATGTTGTTTTTCCCTTAAATTTGGCATAAGAGAATAAGTATTTTGTTTTTGTTTTTTTCAATTTCTTTTACGACTTTTAGTTCTTCATTAGATTCTGGTCTCCCTGTAAGATTCCTTCAGCTTATGTTCGACATTTCCTATTTCACTGACTAGTGTCTCTCATCGTATTTCAGATATTTTGTCCGCTCTCGGTAGCTATATCATTCTTCGCCTTCGTCTGTATAGGGAGAATCTCTCTCAAGTTTACATCTTCTATTTCTCTTTCTGAATTGAATGTGCCTTGAGCAGACCTCAAGAACCACAGAGTTAATTTTTTCTAGGCAAAGATTCGGATCCGTGTTGTTTAGGATATATTCCCAGCGTGTTTCATTTAGGACATGGTTGACTTGTTCCCACTATATGTTTTTATTACTGAAGTTGAATTTTGTGAAGTCACTCTCATGACTGATCACATTTTTCTGGTCAGGAGCCCAGTGTATTTATGTATGTACTTCTGTTACGTTGTGATCTGAGTGTATTGTCTTTGATACGGTTATATTACTTATCAGATCGTCGTTGTTAGAGTGAAGATGAGGTCCAGCATATTTTCTAGTCTTGTAAGCTCTAATATTTGCTGGTTTAAGGTGAATTTGGTGCAGAGATTTAGTAACTCGTGTGTGTGTGAATTTTCTTCTGAGCTGCCTCCTGGCGTGATCTCTGCTAAAATATTATTTCTATACTTCTCCACTTTTAGTATCTCAAGTTGATATCTCCTAGTAGCAAGATTTTTCGGGTAGGAGTTGGGAGATTTTCCAGGCAGTGGTCAATTTTCAAAATATATTCCTGGAATTGCTGGGAAGTTGCATCCAGAGGCTTGTATACAACCGCAGTGACAAGGTTTCGGTTTTCAGTCGTTACTGCCAATACTTCAACCACATCATTTGAGGTGTTTAGTAGTTCTGAGCAAATAAGCGACTCTGTGACATACAAGCCAATACCCCTTTGTTGTCTGTTTAATCTGTCGCATCTGAATAGGTTATAACCTGGGATCCATATTTCGTTGTCAAAATAATTCTGTGGGTCTCTGTGAAAGCTGCAGACATTGCATTTGACTCCATGAGCAATCCCTTGATGTAAGGAATTTTGTTGTTTGTTGATGGTTTTAGACCCTGTATGTTTGCAAAGACAAATGTCGTTATATTGATGGAATTTAGAGGGGTTTTACTTGCTGGCTCTAATATCTGTTGTTCTGGAGTAGAAGCCAATGACTGTGCCTCTGCTCCAGAAGTGTTTTCAGTTGGAGTAAGATTTCTGTCATTTCTTGCTAGTCTATTTTCCATCTTGGCATTAAAGAACCTCCTTCTCTGGAGAGGTTATGGCTCCCCTTTTGTTTCCCATAGTCTGGCTGGTCTGTCTTCTTTTCCCCTGTAGATGATGTGACTGGCAGTATACGTTGTAGCATTTTCTTTCATGGAGTGACGAGTGACACATTTCGGGGTGAAATTACAGGAAGGGGAGTTGCACCCTCCTGTTGTCATATGGGTGTGGCATTTTTTGGGATGGTAAAAGGTGCATGCCCCACCTGCTATACCAGATATACCATGCCTGCAGATACCCAAGGCATAGAATCTGCATAGATAGAAATTTTGTTTGCTAGGATTTCTTCAGGCTGTGTTCGCTGCTGGTGATTTTTTTTTCTGTCTCCCATCTACCTACGACCCCTGTATGGACATCAGTGCTTCCATCAGTTTTTACTTGTACTAAGACATCATCCCCTTTTGTTCCATCTCCATCAATATCGCTATTTTGTACCTCTAAATTGAATAAAGTTGCCTTTACCTGTTTCATCACCAAGGCACTATCTCTATTTGGGGCACTGTTCTCCAAGGTAACATGAGCACCCTCTGGAGCATTGTCTTCCAAGACAGCCCCATCCAACCACCCATTTTATTTTCCCAGTTGTCATACCAAGCTGACATGTCTTTCAAGAAGGATATTTTATTGGTGTTCTTGTCTTCTAAGATGGATGCAATTTCCTCATGCACGTGTATCTCATTTGGGCAGTCCCAAAAACATTTCTCTGATTTTATATCTAATGTGGTCACTGGTTTAAAGTTCCTGCATGTCTCATGGGACCAATTGCCACAGAGATTACATGTAATCCAGGCATGACTTCGCCTGTTACCCATTCTGCAGACTACACAGATTTTCATGATGGTGGTCATTTACAACACTTTACAACTCTACTAACTAGCTAGTCTATAACTA